GCCAAGTTGCCCAGGTGGGTCTCGAACCCGCAGGCTCAGGCAATCCACTCACCTCAGCCTCCCAAAATGCTGGGATTACAGGCTGAGCCACAGAGCCCAGCCGTTGTAATTCTTAATTTTTTTAAATTTTGCTTTGTTTCCAGAAAGACATCGGGAAGAAAGAGAGCCTGATGGATTATTGTTTTTTGTTTTTTTCCCAAGGAAGTGTTTAAGAAACGAAGAAGTTAGATATTTTGTAGTGCCTAATCATGATTGGGTTTTCATGCTTGTATGTGAGATGTACCTCCCTCCAACCTTGTTATGACATCACTACCTGTCTGATACATATACATATTTTTTAATTTTAGAAATAACTTTTTTTTTTGAGACAGTGTCTTGCTCTGTTGCCCAGGCTGGAGTGCAGTGGTGCAATCACAGCTCACTGCAGCCTCAAACTCGTGCGTTCAAGTGAACCTCCCACCTCAGCCTCCTGAGTAGCTGAGACTACAGCTATGTGCCACCATGCTCAGCTAATGTCTTTTTACTTTTTATGGAGACAGTGTCTTGCTGTGTTACCCGGGCTGGTCTTAAACTCCTAGGGCAAGCAATTCTGCCGCCTCAGCTTCTCAAAGTGCTGGGATTGCAGGCAGGAGCCACCACACCCAGCCTAAAAATGTTTAAAAAGAAGAAACAGAGAAGTTCAAAATGTCAAACTGTGGAAGGAGAACCAAATGGTCTTACAGAAAAATTTTACAGATTCTTTTTTTTTTTTTTGAGTCAGAGTCTCACTCCGTTGCCCAGGCTGGAGTGCAGCCGACCACTGCAGCCTCCACCTGCTAGGTTCAGGCAATCCTTCCACTTCAGCCTCCCAAGTAGCTGGAACTACAGGCATGTGCCACCACGCCCTGCTAATTTTTCCATTTAGTGTAGAATTGAGGTCTTGCCATGTTGCCCAGGCTGGCCTTGAACCCATGGGCTCAGGTAATCCCCTTGCCTCCACCTCCCAAAGTGCCAGGATTACAGGTGTCAGCCACTGTGCCCGGCTTACAGATCATTTTTAACAGCCCTTTTCTCTGAAGTTGGATATAATCTAGAAGAATATACAGCTACAGTAGGAAACTAAGCAAAAATGAAATATAAAAGTATTACATATTCTTGGGTTTGCTCATATGTTATCATTTGATAATAGTGCCATTTGCATCAGTGGTTACAGCACTTGTACGTTTGTCTTATTAAACGGAACAGGAAAGTTTGTTAGGGTGACCTGCAGTGACTGGGTGCCCTTTTATGTGGTTTGGGGTTTTCCACTGTGCTGCAGGCTGTGAAGTCCATACAGGGTAGTATCTCTGCATCCTGATGTCTCTGAGTCCTCAACCAGCTCGTAGGAATCAAGCAGGAACCAGAAAACGGAACAAGCCACTGACACTGAAAAAACAAAACAACATGAAACAAAGAGAGCCATTCTCCCTCCTGAAACCAGGAACACCCGGGCAGCAGCGCAGATCTAAAAGGCCACAAGTTGATGCAAAGTCACTAAAATGCAGGGAGCCCGGAATTTGCCACCAGGAGTGTCAGTCTGCGTTGCTGCTGACCACTCGCTGTGGGAAGTGTCTGCCCCTTCTTCTGTGTCTCTTTTGTCTCCCAGACCCATGGGGGCCTCAGGCCGAGGATGAGATGAGCACACCCTGCCCCTCTCCCGGCGGCTTGTCCCTCTGGTTTCACACAAGGGTTTCAGAACCCTTCTTCCCCTGGCTGCCAGCATGCAGGCCCAGTGGGCTTCGGAGGGCGTGCTTGGGGCCACGAGGCTGTGCCCCTGGGCCTGTGGGCACCCTGCTTCTGGGCTGTCGGAAAACCTCTTCCCAGTTCCAGCCCTACCTGGGCTCTTGGAAAGCCAGCCAGGAAAATCACGGCCGTCGTCCTTCCACTTCTACTTTTGCATAGACAGATGTTTCCTTCAGGGTCTGCTCAGCCCCAGTGAGGGGACAAGGGCCTGTCCGGCCACCTGGCAGGACACACGTTCATGAACACGCAGAGAAGGCGCCGGTTTCCTCCTCCTGCCTCGTGTCCAGACTCTTTGGAGACAGGATCGACACTGTTTTTGTTTTTGCAAAGCCCCATTGTTCTGCTGTCACCCACGCTCAGGACGCGGTGCGCTGTGGCTTGCTGCACAGCAAAACCTTTCTCTTGGAAGACGTTTCCAAATCCTCTTGTGGGAATAAAAGGTCAAGCTAGCAACACAGGAACGCTTCCGTTTAAGCGTTTTATTTCTCTAAAAGAGAGTCTATAATCCAAGGCGTTTAAAGTTTTAAGAGAATCTTCACGGAAGAAAAATGGATTATTTTGTTGATTTTCCCACCTGGGTCTCCATAGGAAGGTGCTGGTTAAGACCTGGTCAGGACCTGTCTCCTGGTTTGAGGGACATGAGAGCTGGGTGGATAGTGGGGTCGTCTGTCTCTGGTCCTTCCTTTGGGGCTGAGGGTACGTGAGCTCTTCAGGGCTGGGGTGGCCAGTGCGTTCATTCAAGCCCAAGCAAGCCACCTTCTGCTTCCTGCAGAGATCTTCAGAATCTGCTACTTTCTGTTTCCTGCAGAGAATAGGAGCTTGGCCTCCCTGGCTTTCTCCCACCAAGGGCCTCACAAAGCCCCCCCTGCCCCTCCCCAGGTTTCTGAAACCACCCAGAAGATGAAGGTGGACCTAGAGCAGCACCTGGCCCGGCTCGGCGAGATCTTTGCTGCCCGTGGTGATTATATTCAGACTCTGAAGTTCATGCAGCAGATGGCGGACAACATCATTGCCCAGCTCTCAGGACTGCCTGTGTGGAGGGAGGTCACCACAGAGCTGACCGAGCTGTCTGACCAGACTGGCTACGTGGAGTACTACAGGTGAGGGGCTGCTGGGAGGCAGAGAGAGGGACACAGGGCTGCCTTGGTGTCCTTCATTCAAGCTGACACATCGAGGCCTGGGCAGAGAAGTGCCACCAGGAAGTCCTCATGAGCCATTAGCCAAAATCAGGAGACCTTGTGAGCAAGCAGGGGCTGCATGGTGGATGTGTAGACTAGCCCCCTTCATAGTCAGGCAACAGATGTGCCCACGATCCCAGCGCCGGAGGCTGGACCTGGCCACCTGCTCACGGTAGGCTGTTCCTCTAGGACCAGCATTCTCTGTGACTGGTACTGGGTGAAATGCCGCGTGGTTTACAGGCTCCTTGACCCCCAGGGTTTATGTGGCAGAGTTCCCTGTACCTACAGACTTAGCCACGGGGATGCAGGGGGTTGGGAGATGGTGGCCTTGTGGCTGCATGAAGCCTTCCTGATGGCAGCTTCCTAGCACCCCAGCAATGCTCCCAGCCTCACTTAGATGGACAAACTCATACCTGCTCATCCAGTCTTCAAGGGTTTGTTGATGTCTCCCCTGCCTCCCCATTGCCCTGACCCCATTCCAGGTGGAGGAACTGGACACAGGTCAGCCAAGCAGGGACCAGCTGCCCCCCCTCCGGGTTCAGGGTCTAGCAAAGGTCTCTGGGGAGAGCCAGGCAGGAGGCAGCAGTCTCAGCTGTTGGGTGGCTTCTGGCTGAGTGGCAGCAGGTACTCGTGACAGGCAGGTTACCGTGCTCCCAGGGCCGTTGCCTGGCATGGAGGAGACACAGGGCGGGGTGCACAAATGAGCATCGGCTCTTCAATCCCTGCCCCAGTGTGTTGGCTCCTTTTCAAGCCATTGACGAAAGCTGGATCCTTTAGCCCAACGTTGCACAACTTACTCTGGTTCTCTGGATCCGTGTCCCCTTTTGTCATGAAACCCCACCCCAGGAGGTCACTGCTGGGCTGAGTCCAAGGGGCTCTCCCCTTCCCAAAAGTAGACGGCAGGCCCTGGGCAGGGAGCTCATGATGTCCCTGGCTCTAGGTGGTGCTCCCTCTCTGTGTCCCCAGCAGCCTTTCCAGCTCCTGCATCTCCACGGCATTATAGAAACTCTGGGTTGAAGGGGACCTTGGTCCAAATCCCCACCAGGTGGATGCCCACGGACAAGCTGTCTTCCTCCCAAGGGACTGAAAGACACTGACAACTCCAAGAACGGCCTGTGACTGCCTACGGCCCAGAACAGTGGTGTTAGCCCTGTGACACGTGGGCTGTTGACGGCCTGAGCTTTCCGAGTCTTTATGTCGGGGCAGGGGTGTGGTACGGGTGTCGTGTTGGTCTTGCCCTTTTCTCTCAGTGCACCTAGCCTACAACTGGTAAGGGCCTCACGTGGGCATGTTGATAATGACACTGATGAAATAAGTCAGAACTTACATCAAAGGGGACTTAATTGTTAAGACAATTTCATTTAAAATGGGGAAGAAGACCAGGCACGGTGGCTCACACATATAATGCCAGCGCTTTGGGAGACTAAAGCAAGAGGATTGCTTGAGTCTGGAAGTTCGAGACCAGCGTAGGCAACAGAGCAAGACCTTGTCTCTACAAAAAAAATCCAGAAAGGAGCCAGGTGTGTTGATGCATGTTGGTAGTCCCAGCGACTCGGGAGGCTGAGGCGGGAGGATCACCTAAGCCTAGAAGTCAAGGCTGCAGCAAGCCTTGATTGTGCCACTGCACTCCAGGCTGGGCAACAGAGTGAGACTCCCACTCAAAATTAATTAATTAATTAATCAAAATAAAATAAAATGGGGGGGAAATGGAGCAATGGCACCACAGCTATTTCCGTGTGGGTGACCGATAGGGTCACCTGTGATCCCCAGCCCCTAACTCCCCACCCCTCATTTAGGTTGAGGCAGAAAGATCTAGTCCAGGGTTGGCACCTGCAGCTCCTGAAAATTGTAAATGTTCCGCCCATCTGTTTGCGGGTTCCTCCCACCCAAGCTGCTGGAAGGAGCCAGCCACAGGGCCGGCTCCTCCAAAGGGCTCCACCTTGGCTTTCGGATGGGTCTTGATCATGACCGTCCAGCCTTGTGAATATCCCGAGAGCTTTTCTCCTAGGCCTGGAGAAGTACTGGCGGAGATAAAAAGCCACGAGGCAGGAGAGGGAGTCCGAGCAGGGAGTGGCTCTGGCCTGGGAGATCTAAGTTCCGGGGTAATGCATTTCCCCATCCCCCTTCCCCCATGTTCTCACTGGTTCCTCTGGGAAAACACAGCCGCCTTGGAGCTGTTTCCAGGAAGCCTTTACAACATGAGGCGTGGATGTGGGGAAAATGTATTGAATCACGACCATGGAGACTGGGTTAGAAGCAACCCTAACTCGATTTCCTGCTGAGAGGGGAGAGCGGTAACAAGAAATCTTCAGATTTGAAACATGAGGCTGGTATTTTGAGAGGTGCACCGTGGCTGGTGTGGACAGTGTACATTCCTAGGTCAGGCTCTCCATGCCCACAGGCCTCGTTTTTTGTTTTTTTTGCTTGTTTGTTTGTTTCGTTTTGTTTTTAGTTACACCCTGTTACCTAGGCCAGAGTGCAGTTGCACCATCATGACTCACCGCAGCCTCAAACTCCTGGGCTCAGGCGATCCTTTCACCTCTGTCTCCCAAGTAGCAGGGACTACAGGCACGTACCACCACACTCAGTTAATTTTTTTTTTTTTTTTTTGAGTTGGAGTCCCACTCTGTCACCCAGGCTGGATTGCAATGGCATGCTCACAGCCACTGTGGCCTCGACCTGCTGGGCTCAGGCCATCCTTCCTCCTCAGCCTTCCAAGTAACTGGAACTACAGATGCACATCACCACACCCAGCTAATTTTCTATTTATTGTAGAGACCAGGTCTCACCAAGTTGCCCAGTCTCAAACCCCAGGGCTCAGGCAGTCCTCTTGCCTCCGCCTCCCAAAGTGCTGGGATTACAGGCATGAGCTACCACGCCGGCCAATGTTTTTATTTTTTGTAGAGACGAGGTCTTGCCCAGGCTGAGAGCCCTCGGTTTTTCAATCTACAGAATGGAATCCCAACACTAGATGTTTCCCAATGCCCCTTCCAGCTGTGAGTCTGAGAAAGCTGGCTTCTTGGGGGCTTCCAGCAAGCGGGGGCAGGCTCTGTTTGTTCCGCAAAGTCTGACTCAATTGCTGGGAACCCCAGAAACCTACGGTGGGCTGCCCCCTGTGCTGTGTAAGAGTTGAGGATATTTTTTTTTTCCTTTTTAGAAATCCCAGCAGCTTTGGGGGATACAAATAGTTTTTGGTCCGGGCTTTAAGTGTACCTACCACCCCCACCTGAACACATTGTACCCCCATAGGTGATTTTTTTGTCCCTCCACCCCTTCCCCCTCCCCCTTCTGAGTCTCCAGTGTCCATGAAACCATTTTTTCTCCTTAGTTTAGCTTCCACTTCTTTATTTATTTTTTTTTTGAGTTGGAGTCTCACTCTGTCGCTCCCGGCCACCGCAGCCTCAACCTACTGGGCTCCAGCGATCCTTCTGCCTCAGCCTTCCAAGTAGCTGGAACTACAGGCGTGCACTACCACTCCTGGCTAATTTTTTGATTTACTGTAGAGATGAGGTCCTGCCAAGTTGCCCAGGCGGGTCTTGAACCCGCGGGCTCAGGCAGTCCACTCACCTCAGCCTCCCAAAGCACAGGATTACAGACTGAGCCACTGAGCCCGGCTTAGCTTCCACTTCTAAGTGAGAACATACGGTGTTTGGTTTTCTGTTCCCGAGTTCGCTTAGGAATTCCATCCAAGTTGCTGCCAAAGACATTATTTCCTTTTTTCTGATGGCTGAGTAGTATTCCATGGCGTAAATATGCCACGTTTTCCTTATCCAGTGATTGGTTGATGGGCATGCAGGTTGATTCCACATCTTTGCAATTGTGAATCGTGCTGCACAGGGGTCAAGGATTTCAATTAAGCTCCTTCTTCTGGACTTCAGCCTTGATTCACAAAGGCTACCAGAGCCTCCAGCCTGCTCCCTCTCCCCCTCAGAGCCTCTCTGCCACTTTCTGCAGCTCTACACCCTCCGTGCCCACACTTCAAAGGCCTTCTTGCGCGCTCTATGGTGTCAGTGAAGCAGAAAACCACTGCTGGGTAGGAGAGGTCAGCACATTCGTTTGGCTCTCGCATCAGGAGAAACAATGATCCAAAGACTCCTCTCAGGGGATGGAGAGAAGTCCCCTGTCTCTGCTCTTCCCTCCTCTGTCCTCTGTCTTCCACTCCCACTTTCGCATTGCTCAGATTAGTCCCCAGCACAGGGTAAATGGGTACAGCTGTCTAGGGAGCCTGATGCTGTCTTTTTTTTTTTTTTTTTTTTTTTTTTTTTTGAGTTGGAGTCTCACTCTTTCGCCCAGCCTGGAGTGCAGTGGCATGCTTCTGGCCGCCACAGCCTCGACCTGGGCTCCTGCAATCCTTCTGCCTCAGTAGCCGGAACTACAGGCGCGTGCTACCACACCCAGCTAATTTTTGTTTTATTGTAGAGACGAGGTCTTGCCCAGGCAGGTCTTGAGCCCGCAGGCTCAGGCAATCCACTCACCTCAGCCTCCCAAAGTGCTGGGATGACAGGCTGAGCCACCGAGCCCAGCCTGGTGCTGTCTTATGAGGCCACCTTGGGGTCCCATCAGTGCCCTTGGGTAAGGCGCCTGGATTCTTCACCTGTGCTCTGGAGAAACAGGAGGGCAGGGCTTCAAAGTCCCCGGTGCCTCACCTGGTTACCCTTTGCATTCAGCAGGCACTTAATCCTTACTCCTGCCCTGTGGCATGAGGGGTTCCAGCTTCCTTTATGGAGGCAAAAACTGAGGTTCGAAGTGGAGAAGTGAGCCGGGCTCAGTGGCTCAGCCTGTAAACCCATGCCTTGGGAGGCTGAGGTGAGTGGATTGCCTGAGCCCGTGGGTTCGAGACCCGCCTGGGCAACTTGGCGAGACCTCATCTCTACAATAAATCAAATTAACCGGGCGTGGTAGCGCGCGCCTGTAGTTCCAGCTACTTGGAAGGCTGAGGCGGAAGGATCGCCAGAGCCCAGCAGGTCAAGGGCTGCGGTGGCCGGGAGCGGCCACTGCATTCCAGTCTGGGCAATAGAGTGAGACTCCAACTCAAAAAAAAAAAAAAAAAAAAACCAAAGCGGAGAAGTGGCTTGCCAGAGTCTCCCAGCGGAGATGTGACTACCTTTCCCCATCAGCGCAGCCCTTGAGGCACAAAGGCCCCAGCAGTGAGGGGCTAGGAGGCCTGGAGGTCTGTGGGTGTCCTGAGCTTGGCTCCCCAGCCCCACCCTGACTCCGATGATCCGGGACCAGTCTGCTCATTGGGCATCCCTGGCGCTATGCTCACTGCCTGGCATCAATGTTGACTGCAGTGAACCCAAATGTCACAGTCAGTGGCCAAGATGGGAGGCCTGGGGAGCCAGGCTGAGCGTTCATCCAAGAAACCGGCATCTCAGGGGCTGTCTTAGATCTGTGGCTATCAATGTCTGGCCTTGGCTGGTCTGATGATGTCTGAGTTTTAGAAGCAAAAGAGGCAGGTCCAAGGAGACTGCAGGGAGGCTACAGAGAGACACCTCAGAGCTGCCCTGATGGGGGGGGTAGCCATGTGCGACTATTAACATTTAAATTAATTAAAATTAAATAAAGCCCAATACTCATTTCCTGCTGGGCTTGATGGCTTACATCTGTAATCCCAGCGCTTTGGGAGGCCGAGGCAGGAGGATTGCTTGAGTCCAGGAGTTCGAGACCAGCCTGGGCAACATAGTAAGACTCTGTCTCTGTTTATTTAAAAAAAAAACAGGCCAGGTGCAATGGCTTACACCTGTAATCGCAGCACTTTGGGAGGCGGAGGTGAGAGGACTGCCTGAGCCCAGGTGTCTTGGCAACTTGTCGAGACCTCAGCTCCACAATATAAAAATCAAAAAATTGACCAGGTGTGGTAGTGTGCACCTGTAGTTCCAGCTACTTGGAAGGCTGAGGTGAAAGGATCTCCTGAGCCCAGCAGGTCGAGGCTGCGGTGGCCGTGAGTATGCCACTGTACTCCAGACTGGGTGACAGAGTGAGACTCCAACTAAAAAAAAAAAAACAACACAAAAAACTCACTTCTTCAGTTGCACAAACCACGTTTCAAGTTCTCAGAACCCACCAGCGAGCAGTGAACAACACAGATTTAGAATAGTTCCTTCACCGTGGAAAGTTCTGATGCAAAGTACTAGTTTAGACACTCTGCCTGGGGGTTAAGGCCAAGGTGGGAAGGTGACAGTTTATCCAGGCAGCAGTGGGGGTGAGGCCTTGAGTCTCTGCAGCTCCTGTATGCTGGGTGCCTCCTAGCTCTGGACTGCTTGTTATGAAGGGTCAAGAGGGCCTGGGGGCTGCCGCTGCCGTGCAGGCCTCCCGCGTGGGCAGCAGATGGGGAATTCTGCCCTGCTGCCTCTGACCATCCCTGCCCTCCACCCAGGTGGCTATCCTACCTCCTGATCTTCATCCTGGACCTGGTCATCTGCCTCATCGCCTGCCTGGGACTGGCCAAGCGCTCCAAATGTCTCCTGGCCTCGTGAGTAGCCCTGCCCGTGGGTCTGGGACAGAGTGCTGGGCAGGGTGCCACCGTCAGAGAGACAAAGGCCTCTGGACCCAAAGGCCCAAAGGCCCGGACAGGCCCAGAGTAGGGGGAGAGGGCAACGGCCAAGCTGCCCAAAGCCCCCACCTAGCACCCAGCTAAGGGGACACAGCAGCCACCGACCAACCGTCTGGTCACCAGGCAAACACTGGGCTCTCCTTCTCTGGACTCTGAGCAGCTGAAGGAACATGGGCCCAAGCCTTGGGACCTCTTGCCACCTCCAGCCGACGCCTCCAGCCAACGCCTCCTCAGCTGTTCTCACACCTGTGTCTCCTTAGACCTGGGCTACAGGGATCGGGCTCCACAGCCCTCTCCCGACAACTGGCAAGGCCCATGTCAGGGCAGAGATGGATGCCTTCGGAGCTGCTGCCAGGGCCCTGGGGCCAGAGGAGCAGGATGGTGGCTGGGAGGAAGGGCAGTGGAGGTTGGTGGGGTGACAGCCATCGCAGGGGGCCCCTGCCAACCTCTGCCCGGAACTCCCTGGTGCCCACCTCTCTCCTAGGATGCTGTGCTGTGGGGTGCTGAGCCTGGTTCTCAGCTGGGCTTCCCTGGCCGCCGACGCCGCTGCGGCAGTGGTGAGTTGGTGGGGCTGGGAGGGTCTGGCCGGGACAGCGGGTTGGTGATGTATCCTGTGTAGAGCCCCCAGGCAGGGCCAGCGTCCGGTCACAGTCCCTAACCTAGAATCGCAGAACCTCCTAACAGGGGACCCGGGTCATCAAAGCCGAGATAAGACACCACTGCTCATAAAGGCCCGCGTGGGTGGCCAGGTGGCTCCTCTGGGTATGAAGATCTGACAGGGCCCGGGGGGCACAGGTGGGTCTGAACTTCTGGCTGGAGGGACTCTCCGTCAAGCACAGTCTGCCAGCTCCCCAGGCACCAGGACTGTAGAAGGTGGGTCTGGCCGGCCTCCTCCCCGTCGCCCTTGAACTCACAGTCTCAAGCGCGCAAGGTGTCTCTTCCTGGACATGGTGCCTCAAAATGGTTTAAGAAAAAAAGGAGGAAGGGCTTTCTATGTGGATACAGGTGGTCTTTAACAGGCCTGGTGCTAAGCAGTGTGTGAGGCTGTTCATTTCGTCCAGCTGAAGGAATGTGTTTGCTGGGTGACACTTGATGGCACACGATATCTAGGCATGCAAAAGCCAGGAGGGCGTGACGTTTGCTGCTGAGAAAGTCCCAGTCATTGAAAATAAGACTTGTGGGCAGAGCAGATCACTGCAACCCCAGGACTCGGTAGGGTGGAGGTGGACACTGTGCGTGTGCGTGTGTGTGTGTGTGTGTGTGTTAGTAACCCCAGGACTCGGTAGGGTGGAGGTGGACACTGCGCGTGTGCGTGTGCGTGTGTTAGTAACCCCAGGACTTGGTAGGGTGGAGGTGGACACTGCGCGTGTGCGTGTGCGTGTGTGTGTGTTAGTACCCGTATGATAGAGAAGGTCACCATTTACCTGGTTCAAGGGCCACAAAACTAACCTTGTGATCTGAATCTGTTCTGCCCTAGCGGCCTGGGGAGGAAAGGCGGGGCCTGGTGCCAGAAGCCCCCTAACCAAACACACACCTTGCCCAGTGCCCCAGGGGGCTGGCTGGTAGCTCTGGGCATGGGCGCTTGGCCTCCATGATGCCATAAGAATAAATGGACCCTGGCGCCGGTTGGCTCCACAGCGCTTGGCAGAGGCTTGTGCAAAGGGAGGCGGCTCCTGTCTTTGCCCCTCCCCCATGCAGCGGCCAGGGACCAAGGACGGGTAGAGAAAGGGGCATGGTAGGAGGGCCTGGGTCACGCTCAGCAGCATCCCGGTGGCATCAGGCGCTGGGACGGCCATCAACAGTGCCGCCGTGGCCAGAGCGACGGACGCAGCTGCCTGGCTGGTAGCCTCGCCTCTGTGGCCAGGCGCCAGCCCAGGGGAGCCTTGCATGGAGCCTTCCCGGCCCAGTCGCGCTCCCTGGGCAGCTGCTGCCTTCTGGAGGCGGCGGTGGCTTCCAGCTTGCCCAGGCCAGCTGCCTCATGAGGGGAAGCCCCTCCCAGCCAGGCCTCCTCCTCTTGACCAGAGGCGATTTAATCTCTCAGCTGGGTGCCCTGGAATGCGGGGAACCATTTCCCTAATTCCTTCAGTCAGGCCTTGTGTAAGCCAGGGGCAGTGTGAGCAGGAACTGAATGGGCCTTTGATGGCGCTGGAAATGCTGTGCATTCTAATAGGGAGCGGGCGAGGAGGAGCCAGGAGGGGTGGGGAGGGTGCCGGCTGTCAAGGGGTTGTTGTGGGAAGCTTTTGTGTGGCCTCCCAATGCCACCCTGCTCTCGGAGGCCTGTTTTGACAGCCGTGGGGCCGAGGCCTGGCACGCACGGCCTCCGCTCCCTCCCTGCCCTTTCCTGTCCCCAGATAGGACCTCTGTGAGGACAGAGCGCTGCTCCTGGGATCTGCTCCAGGCAGTGCAGAGAGAGGAGAGCAGACGCCTGGGGGAGCTGAGCTGTGTCCACCCCGTGTGGCCAGCGGCGTGAGCCATGGGGGCCTGTGGTGGGGGCAGAGAGGAAAGGAAGCGCCAGGAAGAAGGAAGGGAGAAGTGGGTGGAGGGAAGGGTGGTTACAGGTACTTTGGCCACGGAGCACCATGGACAGAGCACTCCAGGGGAATCCAGGCCTGCTCCCCTGAACCAGAGGGTAGGCGGGTGGCCTTTTGGGCCCCCGACCTGGGCCCACATCTCCCCCTCAGCCCTTCCAGCCGTGGGAGAGTTACTGAAGTTCCTCGTGCCTCAGTTTCTTCCTCTGGAAGTATATAAGAGGACTTGCCACAAAGAGCAGTGGACAGGAGAGGGTGAATGGGTTGATCCTTGGGAGACACATAGAAAATGTGCAATAAACCGTGGCCACCGCTGGCTTCCTGCACATTTATCATCGTCATGTGAGGGTCACGGGGCAGAGGGGTGGCCAGACGGTCGCCTCTGTTCTCAGAACTGCCTGCAGGCTCAGCCATCAACTGGGTTGGGCGCTGGGCAACCTCTCCCGATGCCCCAGCTGTGCTCAATGCCTCTTTCCCTTCTCCCCGCCTCCAACCCCATTTCGTGAGTGGCGTACATGCAAAGCCAGGAGCACACACGCATGCACGTGCACACACACACACAAACGCTGTACACACATACAGGTGCTTGTAGAATTAAGAGGAGAGTGGCTTCCATTGCACCCCACGCCTTAAACTATTCTAACACACCTGTCTCAGGAGATACAGGTTCAGGAATGACCAAGGGGTCTAAGGAGCAGGCCTGGCCTCGGAAAAGAAGGTAGGAAGACAGGAAGGCCACGTCACCGCGAGAATCTTGGATGGGGCCTCCCATCCATCTCCCTTCTTAGATCCCAAGCATCTTAGGGGTGACCCGGACCAAGATGGTGGCCTCACTCTTTGTTTCTCCCAAGGCTTCCCCATGCCCCCCTCAGGCCTGGCTGCCCTCTCCCTCGTGCTTCCTCTGGGAGATGGGAGTGCACCCTGGGCCTGTTGGCTCTGACTGATGGTAATAGACCAGGCTGATTTAGGACGGATGCTGGTGGTTTGTATGCCAAGTCGTTCTCCTGGGATCCTGAGTGTGTGCGTGTGTGTACACACAGGGGGCTCTGGGGAAGCTTGTTCCAGAGGGCTGTGTTGTTCCCCAGCCCCCATGCACAGATTTGTTTTTTTTTGAGTTAGAGTCTCACTCTGTCTCCCAGGCTGGAGTACAGTGACACTCACAGCCACTGCTGCCTCGACCTGCTGGGTTTGGGCGATGCGTCTACCTCAGCCTTCCAAGTAGCTGGAACCACAGGCACACGCCACCACGCCCGGCTAATTTTTTATTTATTGTAGAGACAAGGTCTTGCCAAGATGCCCAGGCTCGTCTCAAACCCTTGGGCTCCGTCAATCCTCTTGCCTCCACCTCCCAAAGTGCTGGAATTACTGGCATGAGCCACTGCACCCGGCCAGCACACATTTTCTAGACCATAAATTCCACAATACAGTTTGCCATGGTATCCATGCCTAGAACCCTGCATGGTGCCCAGTAAGTATACAGTCAATCTCTGCCTCATGAGTGAGTGATGCTCTAGTGTAGACCCTGAGGCAGCAACTTCTGAAAGAGAACCGGGTCCCTGGCAGAGCAGGACCATCAGGGAAGTCCCCTGCCCAGGAAGCATGCACCGACGAGGGGGCAGCCCCTGTGGGCAGGCTGCAGGACTGGAGCTCACCCTGGCCCCTCTGAAAGGTGGAAGCCCTCCTTGACCCAGGCCCCAGGGTGCACCAGGCCGGATCTGGGGTACTCCTGGCTCAGGATGGCGCCTTTGCTGCCATCCCTCCCAGGACCTGTGCCTGGTCCCATGGGACCCGTGATCCCTGACGTCCGGGTTCCCCGACCCGTCCAAGACAAAGGCTTACTGGTGGATTCAACGCTCACTGTTCTTTAGAAAGAGAGCCAGGGCAGCCCTCATAGACTGACCGCCAGAGTGAGATAGCGAGACCAAAAATAAAAGAACAAGACAAAAAGTAAAAGAGATGAGCAGATGAGGCTGTGGTGCAAAGAACTCCCTGCATACAGCCTGTCCCTTCCCAGGCCCAGACTTGCCAGTCCCCGAGGCCTGTCCCAGAAGAGGCACTTAGGTGAGAGTAATGGTTCACATGCTATATGCCCCAGTCACCTTTCTGAACACTTAATGGACATTGATTCATGAGGTAAATAGCACTGTGATCTCCATGTTACAGATGAGACACCTGAGACACAGAAAGAATAAGTAACTCGTCCAAGGAGCAGCTAGGAAGGGCCAGAGCCAGGGTTCCAACCCAGGAGGCTAGTTCCCGACTCTGTTTATTGCCACCTGAAAATGAGCTCGCAGGGCTAAGCTGGCAGGTACCTGGCTTCTCCCAGGGTCCTGGTGCCTGACTGGCCTCCACCCCCTCCCGTCTTTCCCTAACCCAGGGCACCAGTGACTTCTGCGTGGCTCCCGACACCTTCATCCTGAACGTCACCCAGGACCATGTCAGCAAAGGTAACGCCTGTCAGGCTTCTGCTGTAGGAGCCACTCTGGATGTATGGCCGGCCAGACCGCCTCGACTTACCTCTTGCAAGCATGTAGTCACCCAACCCCTTCTTACCCCTGGACTTCAGGTCCAACTGCTCCTCCGGGCCATTTCCTAGAAACTGCCTCCTTGAGGAGCTCGGGGACAGGAAGGTAGCCTGGCCGTAGAGGGTCTGGTTATTTGTGCGCTGCCTGAAGCTCATGCCGTTCCTTACAGAGGTGACCCGCTACTACCTGTATTGCAGTCAGAGTGGAAGCAGCCCCTTCCAGCAGGTATGGCCCATCCACGCGTGCCCTCACCCTGCCCTCAGTCCCTCCACCAGCCCGCTGACCAGGAAGGTGGAGGTGGCTGGCCCTCCTTGCCTTCCGTGGTCTTCCCCTCGGCTCCTTCTCCCAAGGGGGCCGTGCTCTCAGTCAGCATGCTCTAGGTGGTGGTCTGCACATGTTAACATGTGTGCACCTCGCTGGGGAGCCAATTCCTATGCAGGTGTTGTGCAGGAGTTTCAGGGTGGGTCTGGGACTGTGCGTTTCTCAAAAGCTCCCAGGTGAGGCTGGCGCTGCTGGTCCGAGGGCCGCACAGACGAGCAGCCAGCAGTACAAGGACTGTGTAGCCCTCAAGAAGCCGGAGAGACAGGGGACACTTATTGCGTGCCCGAGGGCCGTCATCAGGGACTTGTCTGGGCCGCTGCAGACAGTTGGGAGGGTTAGGGAGACAGGCCCACAGGCCCCTTGGTCGTCAGGGGCTCCTGGGAGGTCGGGTCTCACTGCGGGTTGTCTTTCCTGGCCCAGACGCTGACCATCTTCCAGCGCTCACTGAGCACCATGCAGATCCAGGTCGCGGGGCTGCTGCAGTTCGCCGTGCCCCTCTTCGCCACCGCAGAGGTAAGGCGGCCGCCTCCCACGGCACTCGTGCTGGAAGAGGGGTGCCCCAGATGAACCCAGCAGCCCTCTCGCCTCCCACACCTCCATTCAGCCCCAGGGCCAGGCCGTGCTGAGCTTGCTGCTGGCTCTGGATTCCCACCCCATGGCCTGGCCTTGGCTTCAAGGCCCCTTTGCACAGCTACTGTTTGCGGTTTGATCCACCTGCTCTCTCCCCACAGCTTGTTCCCTGCCTCTTTCTCTCTCTCTCTTCCTGCTTCAGAAAGATCTGCTTGGAATCCAGCTGCTGTTGAACTCGTCGGAGTCCAGCCTGCACCAGCTGACGGCCATGCTGGACTGCCGAGGGCTACACAAGGTGCTCGGGTGGCCCTGGGGCCACATGGAGGGTGTGCGGGCCCCCCGGCAGGCCCCTCTTCCTGGAGAAGCCAGTAGGGGTTGAGGAGAGAGCGAGCCTAGGCTCCCTTCAGGCCTGGGAACGGAAAAGGGAGAAAGTGCCTGGTTTCTCTCCTGTGGCTGAGGCAAACCCAGTAAAAGGGACCAGGGGTCAGGGATAGGAGGGGTGGGTCAGGTTAGCTCTGAACCCTTGCGGCACCCAAAGCAATATGAGGGAGGCTGTTCCATTGTCCAGACTCCCAGCCATCTGGTCAACCCATCTGTCTCCCGGGGTTGCAAGTGGATATCTCAGGCTCTTTATCAGAGTCATCTTTCCAGTAACAAGTAGTATCAGACAGACACAGCGATGCAGGGAACACATTGGGAGCATATGAGCCACTCCCCACCCCCACTCAGTGAACCAATATATGTTGACAGCTTTCGTGTCCCATAATTTAGTGCAGAAAGTCGCAATAATGTCAGTTCCATGCTTGGCCCTGGTCTGTGCACTTTATATTTAAGATGACTTTGGGTCCTCACAGTTATACTGTGAAATAAGTGTTATTTTAGGGGAAATTTTGTAGAAAACTATACATAACTGTGTGTGAATGGATGGATAAATAGAGATATATATATACATACACAAGGGAGACCCAAAAAAACCCGGAATTTATTTATAAAAAGTTGTAGGTTTTTGGGGGGTTTTTTTCCTTTTCTCAAGTTGGAGTCTCACTCTGTTGCCCAGGCTGGAGTGCAGTGGTACACTCATGGCCACCACAGCCTCGACCTGCTGGGCTCAGGCAACCCCTCTGCCTCAGACTTCCAAGTAAGTGGAACCACAGGCATGCACCGCCACCTCTGGCTAATTCTTTTTTTGTTTTTATTTGTTGAGATATGGTCCTGCCAAGTTGCCCGGGCTGGTCTTGAACCCCTGGGCTCAGGCAGTCCTGTCATCTCCACCTCCCAAAGTGCTGGGATTACAGGCATGAGCCACCACACCCAGCCAAAAAATTGTGTCTTTATTCTTACAGGTCTAAACTTCAGTCACCTTCAGAGTACTCTCTGTTTGATGCAATACACCTGTCAAGATCAAGACACTTTTCCACTGCTCAAAACAATTTTTGAACTCGGCAATTTTGACACCTCTTAGTGCTTCTGTCATTTTTTTGTTTCGCCTCTTCCACATTGGCAAAATGCTTCCTTTTGAGGACTTTGAATAGGGAGGGTGGACCACAGGGCTCATGCTGTTTGGGGTCAAAAACTGCTGAATGCTCAGCATGATGTGGGCAGGTGCACTGGTAAATCCCCATCATGAAATGGGCAGACGTGTTGAAAGAATCTCCGAAAAATTCACCAAAGCTGAACGCAGCCTCTCACAACAATGCTAGCTGGTACACTGATGCCGACGGGTTCCTAGAACACTTACCTAGTGGGGGAAGCCTGTACTACAAGAGACCATCCTCCAAAAGATAATTCCAGTTTTTCATGTGTGTGTGTGCATGTAGCTATAGCTACAGAGTAGCTCACTGTAGAGTAGAGATGGCAAGTCAAGGACTTGGGTTTGGGGTCCTAGAGTCTGACTTCAGTGCCAAGAGCATGGAAGCGACCCTTGTATCCTGTCTCCCTCTCCCCACCGCCCCCCATACCGAACCCCTCAACCAGTCCTAGCAGCTGTGTCCTAAATGCATCCGTTTCTCTCTCTGTGGCTTCCACCATGGTCCAGTCCTGCTCCTCTGGGACATGGTGGCTTCCCCCAACTTTCGCTTGCCCCCCTTACTACTCATGACCTTTCACGCTTAGCAGCCAGAGCAGTCCTTTATAAAATGAGTCAGGGCTGGGCTTGGAGGCTCAGCCTGTCATCCCAGCACTTTGGGAGGCCAAGGCAAGTGGGTTGCCTGAGCCTGTGGGTTCGAGACCAGCCCAGGCAACTTGGCAAGACTTCATCTCTACCATAAATAAAAAATTAGCCAGGTGTGGTAGTACATGCCTGTAGTTCCGGCTACTTGGAAGGCTGAGGCGGGAGGATCGCCGGAGCCCAGCGGGTTGACACCGGGCTGGCTGTGAGTGTGCCACTGTACTCCAGCCTGGGTGACGGAATGAGACTAAAGCGCAAAAAAATAAAATAAAAATGAGTCGGGACTTGTTGTGGTGACCCACACCTGTAATCCCAGCACTTCTGGAGAGTGGAGGAGGGAGGATTGCTTGAGCCCAGGAGTTCAAGGCCAGCCAGGGCTATGTAGCAAGACCTCACATGAGCTCTACAGAAAAGCAAAAAAAAAAAAAAAACTAGTTGGGCATGGTGATGTGTGCGTGTAATCCCAGCTACTCGGGAGGCTGAGGCAGAAGGGTCGATCTCCTGCACCCGGGAGGTCGAGGCTGTGATGAGCTGTGATCATGCCACTACACTCCAGCCTGGGCATCAGAGTAAGACCCTGACACAAAATAAAAATGAGTCCGATCACATCCCTTCCATTCCCTAATCCTCCTATGTCTTCCATCCCCTTATGGTAAAGTCCAGACTCATCACCTGCCTGCAAGGCTCAGCATGATCTTGCCCCCCTGACCCCACCTGCTGCTGGCCTGTCTTCTCTTTCATCCCAAGCTTGTCCCTTTGCCCCTCTTCTCAAGGTGTGCTCCTTCTTGCCATCCTGGCCTCAGCTCCAATGCTCCACCTCTGGCTCCCCCCACCCTGCAACCTGCTGTCTTGTTCAGAGCCAGCCCTCCAGTGCCTGACTCAGCAGATGTTTGCAGAGTGACTCCAAGAAGCCCCATGTGTTGGGCCCCAGAATGTGGCCCCTTCGTGGTGGTACAAGGCACTTGGGACTGGGGAACAGCCAGGAGAACCCCGGTCCGGGCTAGGGGGGAGGGGCTTCCGGAGAAGAGCTCAGCCCCCAGACTTTGCGCCTCCCTTCTCCAGCTGCATACCCCCTCCTCCCCCTCCAGGACTACCTGGACGCCCTCACTGGCATCTGCTACGACGGCCTCGAGGGCCTGCTGTACCTTGGCCTCTTCTCTCTCCTGGCCGCCCTCACCTTCTCCATCATGATCTGTGCGGGGCCGCGGGCCTGGAAGCACTTTACCACCAGGTGGGCTCCCAGTAAGGGGGGCTTGGGGGACTTCTGGGGGAGCGGATGGGAAGCTCTGCTCTGACTGAGCCCAGAAGGGAAACAGAGGGCCTGGACATTCAGCCCCAGTAGGCTGGCTGGATTTCTACCAAGCTTCCTCCAGAGTCCAGGCAGACCCCAAAAGGAGGTTCAGGGGCTGACGGTGGTGACAGCCCCCCACCACAGCCCGGCATCCCTTGCTTTTCTCTTCTTCAGCAGGACATTGCAACATGGGATGAGGGGGAGGTTCTGGTGCTGGGAAGGGTGTCCCGGGGAACACCAAGAAAGATAAAGATAAATCATGTCACTGTTATCAAAGAGCATACAGGCTTTTTGAAGAGCTAGACAGGGAGAAGTGGTGTCCAGGCACCCCATGAATAGGTTAGGCAAGAGGAAGCAGGGTAGGGCAGACCCGTGTGCACACAGCATGGTGGGCTGCCTGGAGGAGGTGGACATGAAGTTGAGAATGGGGCAGAGTGATCTGTGGGAGGCAGGCCCAGGACCATGTTTTAGAGGAATCCCAAGGAGATGCGTGCCCTGGGAGAAAAGATGGGAAAGCAGGACAGAACCCGGCTGCCCCAGGCCTCCCTCACCCTCACAGCTGGCATGTTTTACCTGTCGTTCTAGAAACAGAGACTATGATGACATCGATGACGATGACCCCTTTAACCCCCAAGCCCGGCGCATTGCAGTCCACAACCCCCCAAGGGGACAACTTCACAGCTTCTGCAGCTACAGCAGCGGCCTGGGCAGCCAGACCAGCCTGCAGCCTCCGGCCCAGACCATCTCCAATGCCCCTGTCTCCGAGTACATGTATGGCGGGGGCTCCCCAGGACCCCCAAAGCATCCATCCTGGGCAGCACGGCTCCCCCAGCCCTCGTGGGGAGTGGGGTCTGCGGACAGCATGCTAGCGTCCACAGAGCCAGGTGGGGGAGGGAACACATCTGGCCACCCCTCACACCCACCCGTGCAGATGCCAGGCAGCAGCCTTTTGCCGCAGGCAGCAGCCTTTTGCCGCAGCCCACAGGACGGGTCCCAGGCCTGAGAAGCTGCATTTGTCCAGGCCACGCCGCTCCCGGCACTCGTTGCTCATTGGCCGCTTGTCCCTGGACCTCCCAGAGTGTTCTTGGCCGAATCGCCCCACCCGCACTCTGTGATCTCTCTCTATCCCCCCTCCCTGCTACCCTGTGCAAGCCCACGGGCCCTCCCGTAGAAATCTCCAGTGTGCACACACCTGCCACACATGCACACACGCATGGGCGTGCACACACACACACAATTCCTTCAACTCTCCTCTCCATCCCACAGGAACCAAGCTGTGCTCTTCGGCGGGAACCCACGCTACGAGAACGTGCCACTCATCGGGAGGGGCTCCCCCCCACCCACGGTAATCCCACCCTTGCGGGGGAAATACTCAAAGATAAAACCTGCCAACTAGTGAATGCTCTCCGCAGAGGTAGAAAGGGGGGGACACAACAGCTTTGTTACTGAGTAAGCATTAAACCGGACTGTCCTGGGTATCACAGGCAGCGCCCTAAGGAGAAAGAAATCTCACCTGGCAGACACAGGACACACCCCACTGCACACCTGTCCTCAGGAAAGAAAACTCGCCGGCACCATTTGTCCATCCTGCCCGCCTGCTAATTGAGGTGGTCATCCCTGTTAAAATAAAACTTCTATTTCTGTGACAATCAGAGAGGTACAGCAGGGAGCCAGGTCCCTGAGTGAACTACCCCGAGAAGGAGATGAGGTGCCATCTTCCCTGATGTTTACATTTCTAAGAAATGGCTCCCAGGCCCTTAAGAAACCCTGGACTGTAAGACTGGCAAGAACCTTGTTTAGCCCCTATAAAGGTTTGCATATGCCTTATAAGGAGAGATTGTTTACAGTGACGTTTTCTTTTTTTTTTTTTTTGAGTTGGAATCTCACCCTGTCACCCAGACTGG